GTATGTATGTATGTATGTATGTATGTATGTATGTATGTATGTATGTATGTATGTATGTATGTATGTATGTATGTATGTATGTATGTATGTATGTATGTATGTATGTATGTATGTATGTATGTATGTATGTATGTATGTATGTATGTATTCGTAAAATTGATGGTTCCTACCCCCTGCCCCTTACTTGCCGACCCCATCCCAGCATCCTCTGTCCCCCTCCCCCAAATCGCCAATCTGTATATTAGGGCGGGGGGCAGGGGTGCTGGGGTGGGGTGGGAAGGTAGGGGGCAGGGGGTAGGGTTTGGGCGGGGGGATAGAGGGGGTAGGAATAATCAATTTTACGAACGGAGCACCGTAGGGGCCCAGGGCATTATATGACCCAAGGATCAAGGGTCAAAAGGACCATTTTGATATATATATATATATATATATATATATATATATATAAAATGTATGCATGCATGCATGTTTAGACACACACACATGTGTGTGTGTACACATATGTAAACGGCTAGCCCGGCCCAAGATTGAAGATTCATGTCCCCCATTTGGTTGTAAGATTCTTGTGAGTGACAAACAATTCACCCCAATATTGGTAGCTGAAATCATCGCTAGAGCAGAGAAGATGAGTTTGGGGAAGGTGGGAAAGTTCACGTTGAACATTCTACGAAGCCATCTGCAATGATACATCACTTCCAGTGGATTTGCGGGAGTAGCACCATCAGATCGGTCCTAGAACAACTCCTTTACCCGATTGAGGAGTTTGAAATGTCTTAGATAGTTTTTCATTCTGGCCAATCAAGGGGCTTTGCGGGCTGTTAAGAAAGCTTCTTGGTACATTTAGCACCATCCAGCACAGCTTGGTAATTTGGAAGTGAATTTGCTAGCTTTTCCAGGGAACAACACTTGTACCCGGACGTTGAGTTTGGATATTGGATATCTCTTGTTTTGTGTTGTGTTGATAATGTCAAGGAACCAACTCAACGAATAGCTCAAGCTTGTGGTTGTGGCTCAGGAAATGTTTTTTTTATATTCTAACACGCCCCCCTCACGTGCAAGCATAGTCTTTTTCGAGCCGTAAAACCTTAATTCTTTTTTAAAACTGGTGGCGCTAAGTTTCGAACCCGTGACCTCGTAGTCAACAAGGCTTCGATACCATGATAGAATTTAGGATAGGGTATGGACAACTGGATGGGGCTATAAGACACTTGGGTTGAACCACATTAATCGATTGAATTCAATCTTTTAATGTGGTTCAGCTCAAGTTTCTTATTGCTCAATCCAGTTGTCCCTACCCCATTCTAAAATTTTATCATCTGATAGAATTTAGGAATGAGGTAGAAATAACTGGATTGGGCTATAAGACACTTGGGCTGAACCATATTAAAAGATTGAATCCAATCGATTATTTAGTTCAACTCAAGAGCTTATATACAGATTATTTTGCTCTTGAACTTCCGATACGGGATGACACTCTAACACTCCCCCTCAAGTAGACAACCGGACCATTTTGAATCTAACCGGTTGACCACTTGCAAATAAACTCCCATTCTCTTGATTTTTTTTAGCACCAACACATAAAGGACCACGAGCCGCTGGGTATGGACTTCCAGACGAGCAATCGTTTTAAACAGGCCGGTACCCATTATTGAAGATTACACAATAATTTAACATTGGAGATTCTTCTTGGCTTTATTAGTTAATAGTTATATGAGTTTAAGATTCTTACTCATATTTTGACAAAGATTTTCCTTTGTTTTTATTATTAATGAAGTTAGATCTTGATTTCACAATTTGATAAAGACTATTCTTCTTTTATCCCCCCTTCTTTCATAGTTTCTATTGTTTGGTAACAGAGCCATAAGATCTTTATGGGTTCCTTCTGCACAAATTCAGTTTATCCATTTTTCCATTCAATTTCTCATCCTATAGTTATTCTTCTTGTGAAGTACACCAATTACTTTGCATTTGATAAAAGTCCGGTGGGCCAATCATAGTGTGGGGGGACACACACCGGTTCATGCGCACTTGCGCGATAGGCCCAACACACAAGCCCATGGGGGTTCCATTTTAAAACCAATTGGTGATAGGAGAGACAATGGAACTCATATATTGGACATCTTGCTGTTTCTTTTTCGGTGTGGGATGGAACTGCCAAGAGCATTATAACTCGCCTTGATGTCATTTGTTCCAAATGGGCAACACTCAAAGTTTGAGGCACGACTATTAATCATGTGACCACTCTGCAAAAGAATCACATCTACTAAATTCGTAAGCCTTAACACAATACCTTAGCAGCCAACCGCTTCAATTTCTCTAGTCCAACTAGTAATTTCCTACATGAGGACAAAGGAATTTCAACTCTAAGTTGGCACCTGATAGTGAACACAATGGTGTTCTCTTGGACGGCAATACGAAGAGCCTTCATACAGGATATCTCTCTTCTTGTAGTGAAAAAAGTTTCAAAAAACAGCCATATACATTCTTCTCCTCACTTCAGAATCTCATGAGAGCTAACAACCGATCCATACTACTTTATAGCAGAAAGGACATAAGTACATTTGCCACAATGAACTCAATGTTCTCTTGAGGAAAAGTCATGTTTCCAAGAGGGGAGTAATGATAGGTTCCAGGCTGGTTGGCAAGTCATATTATAGAATTTAAGTACTTAGCACTATTTAATTATTTGTTGAGTCTTTTTATTTATCATTTCATAATTATTTAATCCCACTTAGTGAGAAGTTAGGGGTCAGATCCCTACATAGTTAGTGGGAGGTTTGGAGTAAGTTATTACCACTTAGTGGGAGGTTATGAGTAAAGTTTTACTAGTAGAAGTTAGAGTCTCTTTGTATAAATAGACATCTAGTCATGTGTAATCATTATCAAGGATTACATAGTAATTTAATATGGAGATTCTCCTTGGCTTTATTAGTCATATGAGTTTAAGATTCTTGTCTTTTTGATAAGGATTTTCGTTCATCTTTATTATTTATGAAGTTAGATCCTGATTTCATAATTTGATAAAGACTATCCTTCATTCATTTTCCTCGCCACTTTTGAGTTCTGTCAATAAATTTACAATTTCATTACAAAATCTATACTAATGAGAGGCATTACTGGAAATTGGTACTCCATATATATAGACGCACACACACTTAAGAACTTGCTGTTACTTGTTATCGTTGATCACATTTGAACATACTGAAAATTGCATATGGAGGACAAGAGGTCTTCTAGTTTGAATACAAGGGGGTGTTTGGTATACACCTGTTTGAGTATGGGTTTAGGGAACCCTAAACTCATACATGTTTGGTTAAAATTTGTTTTTCTAAAACCCATTATTGAAATCCCACCAAACATTTTCTCATACCTCACAATCCCTCTTTTTGGCAACCCATTCAAGGCACCAACACTTGCTGTCTCCTTTTCAAAATAAAGAAAGTATCACAGCAGACTGGTCTCTCCATTTTTTAACGCTCTTTTAAAGTTCAATTTCTTTTTTCTTTACCTATAGTTATGCTGATAGTGTGTATTATGAGATTTGGTGATGGTGGTGGGTGTGGGCAGGGTGGTGGGGCCTGGGGTTTTTGAAGATGTTTCCATGTTTTAGCCTGGTGAGGTATGGAGTTCTCACCGCCAATGTGCTACTAGATAAAACCTTCGACTGTAACGTAAGCGTCCGCTCATAGAATTGTAGACTGGCCCACAAACCAACACAAGTCTTTCCCGCACACTTTGTCCTCTGGTCAAGCACACTTAACTTTGGAGTTTCTAGGTGATGAGCTCTCAAAAAGAAGATGCATCCTGTTGGTATGAGTAGTACTATCAATCCTTTTTAAGCTCTTCTTCTTCCCATCTTAATACAAGGTATTACATCGACCCTCCTTTTGCTATGTTAGGCCTTCAGCTCCATTTGTCTCTCCTCCCTGTTCTGATTGGGTTGTCTCACCATCAAGCTAATTACCATGATGTTATTCTTGAATATAAACTAAACACCGGAGTACATGATTTAATCTATAATCCCTAACTGCATACCTTCTCAACCTTATTCCTTATTCCAATCCGAAACCTGAATTTTAAATTGTTTTCTTACTGTACTTGATACAAATGTTATTTGCATTTTGCTTATTGATAACTTTTAATGTTTGTAAAGGTTTAGTAAAAAGTTGCAATGTTTATATTTGAGAAATTATGCGTCGGTTATTCATTTGTTCATTTTCTTCTAGTCATTACAACTCAAAGCTTCTAAAGAGAGTAAACAGGAAGTACTACTTCTCAATTGGCTTTTCCAAGATGGAATTCTTTTCCAAGCTCTTGCGAACAACTTAGCAGGAATTATATCTAGGCGAGATGATCGTTACATTTCCCTAGGCTGGTGTATTCTCACTCGGAGTCTCTTAGAATTTGACTGTACTGCAGAGAAGCTCATAACACATGGTAAGCTCTCAATATCACTTATTAGGTGAAGGACTTGTGTTTTATTATTGTGTCTCACTCAAAACAAATTCACTTTTACCCTTGATATCTACTTCGTCTCTCACTAGCTACTATGCTATTACCATTTGTTGAGGACTTCATGTCCTTTTTGGTTGCCATATGCTAATGCTTCTAATGACATGACAATCTTGAGATATTGCTTCCTTATTGTGGAAAGCTTCTTTATGAAATACACGTTTCATTCAACTCATTATTTGTCATCCTTACTCATTCAATATGATTTCTTGCAACAATAATATTCGTAACTTTGAGAATTTCCATGTTTCCAACTTCAAGAATAATAGAAAATTTTACAGTGGGATTCCTCATTCTTACAAATGATGAATCCTCATTCTTACAAATGCTACCGTTATTATTTAGAGTGCATTGAACTTTGTGTTTTTACTTTGTACTTGAGGCTAGTATATTGTAATGCTCCTTTTTTGTTTTCCAGTTAAGTGTCCATCCGTATGTCATCTTTATTGTTTAATTGCTTTTAGCAAAAAGGATATGAATGTTAATGATGACATAACTTTTGCAAGGTGAATTCATCTCCCATTTCATTCTTATATATTTATGTGTGCGTGGGTGGATTAGTTCTTTTGTTTGCTATTTAATGTAATCATGAGATTCAATAGTATAACATAAAAACTTTAGAAGCAACATTTTTGTCACTACAGATTGTTATTACTATTGTTTTTATTGTTATTATTATTCCTATTGTTGTTATTATTATTGTGATTATTATCGTTAGTATTGTTATTGTTGTTATTATTATTATTACGGAGGGGTTCTTTTGACACTCTCAATTAGTGTAATAGTATGCCACTCTCCTTTATAGTCATTAGATCTAAACTTGCAGTCCAGATTAAAAGGGATGATATCTCCTCTAGCATTAAGTCGTTAACCCTCTCCGTCTCTGTCTCTTATGATGGTCTCCAGCCTTCCTCCCTCTCTGCGGCGTAGAGGATTGTCGGCTAGAAATCCTCAATTGAACCATTCTCCGGCTCAATGCAATCCGCCAACCAGATTAAGGTGCGTTTCATCATTTTCAACAAAATCAAATGTTCCGACTTCCACACAACACAGCCGCCTTAGTTTCAAAAAATTTCAAATCTGATTTAAAGTTTTTTTTAATAATATGTGCATTTTTTAATTTTTACACATCTAGTTCCATTTTTATGCATCTCATTTCTAATTCTTTTTTCTACCTTGATTTCGTTTCACTACCATTTTTTTCTGATTTGATTTCTTTTACGGAGGGGTTCATTTTTTTAAGACTAATTGTTTTTCTCTTTTGATTAAATTTGTAGTCTGGATTTCTTTTCTTTGATTTCTTATCACTCTTTTCTTTGATTTCGTATCACTAAAGTTAATTTTTTTCCTGATTTGATGGATGACACTTCCAAACATGGTTGAATGTATGATTATACTATGGTCTTTGTACCATAGGGTACAACTAAGTGAGTCCCGAGGTGGCCTTGGAAGCACATTCAGTTACTTCTTTGCGCTATTGTCATTCTAGTTTAATGGAATGGAATTCTACTCATGCAAAATTTTGTATCGTTCACATGATGGTCAATATATATGGAGTATGATTTCCTTGAATGGAAAGGTGAAGCTTTAGACAGTATAATCGTCAAATAAAGTCTTATCTGCTCATTGGTCCAACCTTGTACTATCTTTCGCTTTCTTATTCTGCAATTATTTTGAAGTTAAAAACAACATTAATAAATAGTTACAAAAAAACATAAGGTAAAGGCAGAAAAGTACACGTCGTGTTGGCTACTTGTAACAACTTCAAGACTATATTTGAATCATTTATATCTTTCTTTCGACCTTTTGTCTTTGGGAGGTTTTTTTTACGACAGAAAGCTCAACAGCTTTGCCATCATGATCGTGTTTTTTTCTAATGAAAAAATCTGCAATCCTCTTGATTCCTTCTTTGTCCATTGCAGTACGTTACCCAACAATATGTAGCATCATTATCGTTCACAGCTGGCAAGAACTCTGCTTGGAGAGTTCAACTCCAATTCAAAATCTGCAATCCTCTTGATTTCTTCGTTGTCCATTGCAGTACTTTATTCAAAAGTACAATTTGTAGATAAAAAGTTCGCTCCATTGCAAACAAAGACAAATACACTTGTGATAATCCACAACAATTGAGAGTTTACATAAAAGCGTGCAGTCACAGTATATCCATAATCCTATCAAGTGAATTTAAAGTAGTAGAAATAAATTTGAAACAACTTCAACTCAGAATAAAAATAGAATAATTGATCAAGTAGTAGAAACAAATCTGGAAACTAAATCTGAAATGCACCTCAGCACCTTAATCGTGAGTAGGACGAAAGCTATGGTTGCTACGTCTGAAAAATAAATCTGAGGATGGTGTACGCCACAAGCTATGGTTGGGCGGAAGAAAAAAACCAAAGATAAAATCCATGAATGTAGGTTGGGCGGAGGAAAATATCAAATTAAAAGTCTAAGTAAAAATTCAAGAAGATAAAACCTGGAATTGCAGGGATTTGGCGGAAGGTTCTTTCCCGGAAGGTGAGAGGAGCCGCTGAAAGTTTCCTACCCTACAAAGCTCTAAGCCACATAGAGGGAGGAAGGCTAGAGACCGTTGTAAGATACAGAGAGGGTTAACGACTTAATGCTAGAGGAGACTGAGGTTGTTAATGTGAGATATCATCTCTTTTAATCTGGACCACAAGTTTAGATCTAATGGTTATGAAGGAGAGTGGCATACTATTACACTAATTGAGAGTGTCAATAGAATCTCTCCATTGTTATTATTATTATTATTACTTTTATTATATCTGTCATAGAGTATACTTATAGTTTGACTTTTTCTTATCAAACAGGAGGAATTAAAACCATAAATTAAATATTAACAGCATTTCATTTTAGTCCACTTATATAAAAAATAGAAAGTATTTTTGCTTGATAAATCTAATGAAACCTTTTTTATATTAAAAATTACTCCCTGTGTCCCTAAAACACTTTCGTTTCACTATTCATATAAATTTAATTGAAAATAACTTCAGTTAAGCATTGTAACCTACAACAAGAAAGTCTTTATGGGATGGATGGAGTTATATGCAATGCAATTTTTATTTGTGTTAATAATATTTATTTTTGTTGACTAGTCATACTCGACATACTCTGAGAGAGAGGAAATATTATTTTGAGATTTTGGCTTGTAAGAGCAATGCCTGTAAGCTTTTTATTTGCTGTTTGAATATTCGTTGAGAGGATTTTAGTTAACAAGGTCTTTTTTATCAATACAGGAATAAGGGAGAAGTATGACAGGCTTCTTAAAACTTTTTGCTCTTGTATCCCATGTCTCATAGCTATTGTATGCAATGGGAGGTAGAAGTGTTTCTTCTTATACAAATGGAATTTGCATTATATATCCCACCCCACATTTTGAATATGATTCCACTTTGGTAAAAGAGAAGAAAATTGTTATACCCGAGACCCGGGGTATAATCAAGTTGCTATTTGAAGATGGAATTATGGAATGGTGAAGAGGAAATGAGGGGGACGAAATATGGGGGTGGAACAAAGAGTTGTTTTTTTTGGGTTTTTGATGAAAGAAAAGAATAAGTTCAAGAAGAAGAAATGGTGAGAAATGAAATTGGCAGAGGTAAAGTGAAGGGATAAACCAAGATGGTGTTAAGAGATATAACACACTCTTATCTTAACTTGGGGTTTGAATCTAGAATTCAATCAAGATATGACACACTTAATTAAATATCTAGAACCTAAAACTCACACTTAAGATAACCACTCTTAAGATATAGATTTAGGAATTTAAATAGCAAACACAACAAGTGTATTACTAAATGGAAAATGGAATTACAATATGAGTCTCACAAAATGGCCTAAGGCCGAAATAAATACACACACATAGGGGGGAAACTTCCCAGAAACATCCACTCACAAATCACAAGAATAATATCCATTTGTTTATGTTTTCTTAATGGAATGAAATCAGGGATTTGGTCTTTGATTTTCATGGCTGGTGGCTTGTCCTTTAGTGAGGAAAATCACAAGGAAATAAGTGATGATTCTTGGGAAATAATGGGGGACAAAGGGGANTGATTTGGTGGGTGGAGTGTCAATAAACTCACAAAAGTCTTTTGTCCTTTTGTTATTGTTTATCCAGCCTAGGTGGGAGACACAAGGGGGACAATGGTTGGTCAATGTTGGGGAATAAAAGAGGGATTGTTTTTGGTCATTAAAAGGGGACAGGGCTGGGTATTATTTATGGGTATTTTGGAGTTATGGCTTTGGGTTACTGTGAGGGAAAACATGGGCAGGAAGTAGGGGCTGGAGGTGGGTCATGGTTTTGACTCTTTGTGGGTTTTGTGTTGGGATTGTGAGGTTTATTTGGGCAGGGATTTAGAGGAAGGGAGAGAAGGTTTTATTTGTTTATTAAAAGGCTTAAAAGAAGGAAAATAACAACAAACAAAAGGTTGTATTTTACACACTCTTATTTTTGGCCCTAGGCTAAAATAAGAGTAGGAAAAACTTTATTTTGGATATCAAAAGGAAATAAAATACTTTTGGATATTTGGGAGGGGTTGGGATTTTGGTGGAGCCATCCAGGGGTATAACAAAAATTGACCACTTCTACTTCAAGGCTCTAATATTTTGGGTTGGAGTTTCTGTAAGGAGTTACATGCACCTTGTAAAGTTTATATTTAATGACTAAGCTCACGGTGCCTCCAATAGGCCTTAACGGGTCTATGGCCATATTCATTTTGGCTTTTAACTTCAGTTACCAGACTCCAACTCAAGATTTTCGCTGAAACTAAAGCATTATCTAGTCTTTAGGCCAGACCCTAGTCTCTAGACATCAGACTCCATACTCTGTACCTCTAGTTTCCAGCTACAAGACTTTAGACTCTAGTCCCTAGACTTCTGACTCTACTCTCCGCTTAAAATTAAGGCAAAAGGAACAAGTCCTATATCTACTTAGGTTAATCGTAAGCCTCGTTAAGTGAAACTGAGTAAAACTTATTAACTCTCAAGTCTCAACAATGACAACCTTGTTGCCTTGTTGGACTTCCATTTAGTGAATAAGTCGGTTCAATGCATATTTAAATGGTCTGAAATTGTCCATATTTACGTAGGCTGATTGTAATTCTCTTCTAAAGTGAAATTGAGTAAAATTCCCTTGAATTCTCAACAGTGATAACCAAGTTTAGGAACATAATGACAAAGAATTGGACTAAGATTAATGTCAAAAAGTTTGTAGCACTTTGCAGGATGGATTTGAGTTGCCAACTAGGCTTGCAGTTGCTGCTGCTGATGTTATTCTATCTCTTTTAGCATCAATGACAAAAAAGGATACTTTTTCGGGCTCTTTGGACTGCAAGCTTAAGTCTTTTTCTCCCAATAAAAGCAATAACTCGACAATGCTTCTACCACATGCTGTGAGTGAGAAGAAATTAAACAAGACCTTCAAGAGTTCTCAATCCACAGACATGGAAGTGATGTTCTTACTTTGGGATCATCTGGATGAACTCATAATTCTTGTGGAGAAACTTTTAATTGTATGCTCTTATTTCTCATCAACACATTCTATCTACAATATATTTTTGAATTCTGTTCATCAAGAAAGATTCTTCTATTCTGGTCGGCTCCCATTTCTTTTGCTATTTGACTGTTATGAAAAGTTTCAATTCCCCACCATCCATTCACGAAAAAATAAAGGACAAAAATACTGCAGAAAGGTCCATTTAATAGTTATTTTAATGTGCAGTGGAGCAGGAAAGGTAGGCCTCTGCATGCAAAAGGTCTAGAACAGGTCTGCAGATGGTTGAAGGTGACAAAGAAAAACTATGAATGTGCCACACATGATGAAGGTTTGGTACCATTCTGTGTAGCCCAATCATGGGTATTATTTTCATCACTTATTTCTCCACCGTCTTCTAGTAACGTTGATGGCAGATTCAAGAATGCAGAACACAGGAGCTCTACTGCTATCTTCTTGTTGGAAACATTATGGTTTGCTGTTGCATTTAGAAGATTACAAAATATCTGGTCAATATAGAGAACTGCTGGAGCAGTACTTGTCTGGGATCCAGGTTTGTTCTCTCTGAAGCGGGAGCAAGTGGCTTATTATATTCTGCTAGATGCTGTTGCTTGCCTATTGCTCATATCTTGTTTTTTTTCCGATGGTCCTTCGTGAGTGGATATTTGTTTCAAAACTGAATGTTGAATACACCTACACCACATGTAGATACTCCCTCTGTTCTCAATAACGGCCCATTGGTTCGATGCTTTTTGTTCACAAATACTTGTTCGTTTAGCATTAAAATAGGGTAAAACATAATAATACAACTAAGTTTCCCTCTCATATTTATTTCACATTTGTGTATGGCTTTTAATATCTAGACATGAATAAGGTTACATCAATTTATGATACTCCCTCTGTCCCAAAAAGATTTACACGTTTCAAAAAAATTGTGTCCCACAATCCTTTACCCATTTCTATTAAAAAACCACTTTTACCCCTTACTTTTTCAAATCCTACCTATCACATCTTACCTTTTTTCTAATAATCTACACATCACATCCTACTTTTACCCATCACATCAAGGGTATTTTTGGAAAGTCAACACAAAATTATCCCTCCCTTAATTTCAACTTTAGACAAAATGGGTAACACTTTATGGGACGGAGGGAGTACTATTTATTTATTGCTTTAAATATTACTATTTATAATTGTTCCTCGATGGACAGCTATTTGAGAATGGAGGGATTACAAGAGAAATTAAAGGTAGGAATTGAACTTGAAATCTGATTTGTCTTTCTATTTTATACACTGGGTGAATACAATCAGCCATATATATAAAGCGCATGGGAGACAAACTTACAACTATATGCTGCTGAAGCCTGAATCAGGGTGACTGTAATTACAACTTTAGGTCTGCGTCTAGCATAGCTTGGAAGCCCCCATTCCAACACTAGACCATACATTGACAGCCATAGTAATACCATAGTTGTGAATGGCGCTCGCCATTCTCGCCTAAGGCGCCTATGGCTTTGTGGCGACCATCTGACGCCATCTTCAGACCTGGCGAGGCGTTTTACGCCAATCTCGCCATAGGCGGTCGCCATGGACGCCAAACGCTGTGGCGAAAGGCGTTCGCTATCTACGCTTAATGCAGGTCAAGGGTTTTCTTGACTTTTTTTTTTAAAAACGCGCTGACCTGACCTATATCAGTACTCGATCGAAACACTTCATCGATTCAACTGCCGAGCCTCTGCCTCTGCCCTCTAGCCGTCGATCGAAATTCTCCTCGCCGACTCTGCGCAGAGCCTCGTCTCTCTCGCGAGTCCAAACAGCGCACTTCTTCGCAGTGAACTCTCTCTCTCTCGCGAGTCTAAACAGCGCAGAGGCAGAGTCAAAGCCGGCGAAAGTAAGACTCCACACTTCGCAGGTCATTCAGACTTTTTTTTTGTTTTCTTATTTTTTTTTAATGGTTATTGTTTCTTTACAGCTCACTTCACAGGTCACACTCACACTTAGATATATTTTTTTCATTTTTTTGTATAATAGTTTTTCAGCAATAACTCATGTTTTACTTTGATAATTATGTTTGATACAAAGTTAAGACTAAAAGTTTGGACTTAAACAATATATATATATATATATATATATATATATATATGTATGTATGTATGTATGTATGTATGTATATGTGTGTATATATATATATGTATATATATATGTATATATATGTATATAAATATATATAATGTTCGCCATTTGACCGCCCGCCGCTCGCCACGCTTCTCGCCATAAAAAAGAACCTCTCGCCCGCCACTCGCCATTCGCCATTCACAACTATGAGTAATACTACAAATAATACTTTCAATTTTCAACAAGACATCAACAGCACAACAACACTCACAATAATCCCAACTCTGTAGTGGTCTGGGGGGGGGGGGGGGGGGGAAAAAA